GAAAGAGATGAAGGAAAATAAGAATTGTTACTCATTTAAAGAATAAAATCTCCCACACAAAAACATCCAGGTTGTTTTACTATTTCATGTAGTCACAAGTGATGACCAGGCAAGAGCAAAAAATATATTTATACAATAGTTAGAAAACAAAATAGCGCCCTCCTAGGACACGTTCAGTCTGCTCAGAAGATCTTATCAAATGATTCCCCAACTGGGCATAGTTATACCATAGCTATTGGTTTGTGACTGGATCTTGGTTGTCCCATTCTGAAGATTTACAAATACAACCCAGCCTCTGTTAGAAATACGCCTGGATAAAGAAGAATATAGGATAGTGGTGGCTGACAAAGATGTATTTAGCCAACACCCAGCATCTACATGTTCTAGCCTGAAAACATCAGACCTGGAAAACTCAGACAAGGTAAGTGAATTACTCTGCCACTATATCCTGTGAGGAACACAGCCAAGAGTCAGAGGGGCAATTTGAATATCACAGGGCTTTTTTTTTCCCACACGAACAAAAAAAATCAAAAGCCTGCGAGCTGATCTAGTGCTTTTTTTTACTGGTAGCTGATCAACTTATTTTTCCTAACTTTTAACCTCCTATGGAGAATCCAGCAGTTACAGATTGTATTTCAGCACACAGCAAATTTAAAATATCTACGAATTAGTAGCCCACTTATCACAACATAGTTTCTAGGCATCTTTCTACAAGTAAACTTTAAAGCCTCTGGGCAAGTGTACACTGATAAAAAAAAAAACTAATGCTGTGAAGATATTTGCACAACACCTTCAGAAGACAGGCTGTGGAACAGGAACACATACCTTTATGGGACACCAAAAATGATGGACTTAAAGCCACCGGATTTATGGTTCAGTATAACTTACCTGTCACCTATCCGGCTACTAATTTCTCTGCTGTTCTGTTTTTCTTTCCAGTGGTTAAATTCAGTAACAAATTAAGGTGAAGCTAAAGCAATTGTTCTTTTATTTCATTTGGACTGTAACTGTTTCTTTCCCAGACCTGATGAAGGGCCCCGATGCCCAAAAGCTTGTCTGACATTTTTCAACAACTTTGCCCAATAGAAGATATTATCTCAGTTCACAAATCTTGCTTTTCTCTTATTTCTGGACCTCAACAGCTTCACCAACAACACTGACAAATATCTACTCAAGAAAAACTCCCCAACAAATTCAAAACACCTCCCTCTTGAAAACTGCCGAACAATTCAGTTGTGGTATACACCTCAGTATTTCTTCAGGACAAAAAATGTGGATCATGACAGACTAGGGGAAGGGCCTCGATGTGGTAAGAGTGCTTCCACAACATGTATATCTTGTCTCCTACCCCTCTATCCTCACTTTTGAATTCAAGTCCCAAAAACATTGCTGGTAGTCTCAAATACTGGAAAATTGACCTAGAGACGTACCTGTTTGTGGTGCAAAACCACAAAGAAAGGCCATTACTCAACTGAGATTGGCAGTTGTCACAGGCAGGGGGGGTCGGACCCCACTTGCAAACTAAATCTGCTCCTGTAGAAGAATGAGCTAGATGACTTAAATCATTACTTGTGGTCTTGTTTGGTTTTTTTGAAGAAATAAGAGGAAAATGGACCTCTCCATTAACTATGAAATACTGGGCTAATAAAGAAAAAGCAATCCAATACTTCAGAGCCTCTCTCATACCTAAGAGACCTTAGGCATATTTGCATTACTTGCACAAAGACTAAGGGCCAAAAATCATACAGAATTTTCCCATTTTGTTTCATTGTTCACTACTTGGTTTTACTTTTTCTGTCACCTACTATGTTCTGTTTTAATTTTGTACAAACTGGTAGAATGGACAATCTTACTGCATACTTTTAGTAAAAGTTCTAATTCATGTAAATGCTGTTATTTTAGTTACATATAATATTATTGTTCAATTTATTGTACTGTTTTGGAGAAAGATGTAAATAAAATACTATTACTACTGCTACTAAATGCTGGAAAGGAATATATGCAGCAAAGTGTTCTTTATTTGCCCCGGACCCATAAATACTTATGCAGAAAAAGGTAGTTCAGTAGCACTTTAAAGAACACTCTTCTACATGTTGCTTAAAAAGAACACCAGAGCTTCTTATCTGTATGCTTTTATACTACAATTCAGCACTTTTACTTAGCACATTCAGAAGAGGGCAAAGTGGGTTTTAAAGAATCTGTCAATGTAAAAGGTTTTGTTTTTTTTACATTAAGTACATATTGCAAAAGAAAACTATCACAGAAGGAATACCACACTAATATTGAACTTAGGAGTTTGACACTACAACACACTGCAGCAGTAAAAAGCCAAAGGCATAAACTGAGACCAAGTGGAAATGTGACCGGAAAAGGTGTGA